ATAAAGAGTGTTAGTACAAAATTTTCATTATTTAATTATGTGAATGTAATTTATTTTTCCAGGTGAAACAAGAAAAGCATAGGAGTTCAACAGGTGCAAAACCAAGAACATGGCATCCCAAACTCCACAGCATATCAGAGGCTACAAGCTGAGATGAATTTGATGCTACTATTTTGATTTGTGGAGTATGAGATTGTGGAGTAGAGGAAGGACAAAATCACTTCCACCAGGAAAACAAACAACAGATGGGTAGTTTTTCCTCATCAAATTAGAGTTAATTAATGACATGTACAGCAAATATGAGGAAGTAAAAGAAAAAAGACAAAAAAACTCACGTCATGGCTCAACTTTTGTAATCATTGGAAGGCCTTCTTTAATTGAAAATCATTGTGGGCTTTGTTAGGATCGGAGCACCAAATTTTATTTACTTATAATTTGGATTCTGATACACTTCCAACGTTTAATGAATTACTCCATATGATTTGCGTTTGACTAAATCAGTCGTACGAATTAATCAAATTCTCTTCTTCTTTGAGATAGGTAGGTATGTGAATAATAAGAGATACAAGTAGAATTAAGACGTTTGAAAGTGAAATCAATGGATAACTAGTTGTACTGTTTCTTTTTATGGCTATTTTTTATTGTCCTTTCAATTCCAAGTTTTTAATTTTTATGGAAGTTTCAACCTTATTGACTCATTATATGATCGTGGATAGATATATAATAATTAGATCGTCAAATACATATAACTAGAATACGTGAACTAGCCAAGTTTTTATTCGAAAAATTATTAAATTGATTTTTTGTACTATTTGAAATTGAACAATTTAAGCCTTATAAGTTAAGCTTTGATCTCATATTACTCTCCCCACAAAGTTCCAACGGGAGTAATGTAATTCTCATTCATCATAGTCAAAAGTTCCAAGGGTACATTTGGAGTTATCTTCATGAATTTGGACACCCATATCATGCTAGCGTTTCCATTCCTGATAATGTTTTCTTTGATTTATCAGAAATAAATTTTCTATTTGCACAGAGTAAAGGATAAATTGTGTATTTTCTATCCCGTTTCAGATCTTATTTAGGAATTACAATTTACACCGACGATATTGTTGTTTGTTGTTAATATAATAGTATACATGACAAGTTTGAAACCTTTCTATTCCATACTACACTGACTAAAGGGCTATCTTTTCATTTTGCCTCTCTTTTTTTGGTTGGGTAAACTAATTTCAACTCAAGTTGAATACGTTTACCCAACAATCATAGAAGTATAAATAGTTGCTCCTAGGAATAAAATCACGAGGAGAGGGAGGAGGTATACTAGTGATATAATTCATGAGTGCGCAATGCTTTTAATAAAATCCAACTTTTGTAGCAAAAAGTGAACACACAAGGAAAATGAGAGAAAGAGATAGAAGAATAGAGCAAATGGAAAAAGTAGAGTAAAGATATTAGTAATTGAGAGTGAAAGTTGAAGAAAACACACAAAAGAAAACAAAAAAGACAGCAAGCAAAAAGTACGATATATGCATGCGTGCATTATTATTTGGTAGGATATGCTGAGCTTCATCTATATATCATATATCCTTATGAATGCTTTTTTATTTGCCAAATGAATGGGTCCTTGTTCTAGTCAAACGTCATATATTATTATGAATTATTCATCAAAAAACAAACACATAATCCCATACAATGCTATACCTATCTAATCATTCCTACTTAGGCTAATCAAATTTCTAGACCTTGGTGGGTGGGTGGGTTCCCTACTAAGAATGGTTCTTATAAGTCTTCATTGGATAAATCATGTAGTAGATAGATAATGAGCCTACGAGTTGAATTATTGTTAAAGAAATAAAATTTGTTCAAAAGCTAGGGATGATTTAAATCATATTAACATTCATCCTTTCATGATCGATATGAGATATCTTCACAATTATCCTATGTGGCCTTCAATTGCTAGAGTGAATCAGATCTTTCAATGACCAGATAATATAATGATTGTAATATTTTAAAATTTTACCTATAACTAAGTTGGGTTAATAATATCAATAACTTCGTCTAAACTTTCAAATATTTACACTACTAGTAGGGACTAGGAAGTTTAAAGCAACTACCTTCTTTCAAATTGTGCAACTTTCTTTTTACTTTCAGATCACTTGATAGGAAATTGCACGTAATTATTATATCTCTAATAAGTGGAATTACTAGTAACTTAAAAATTAAGTAAGACAAATAACATTCTAAGAAGGTCAAAATTGCACTGATAATTTAAATTTTTCATTATATTAATTATCAGTGAATATAAGTTAAATTCTTCTTGAAAAACCGAAGGTTGTGCCAAATTGGGAACTTATTTTGTAGCCATAGAGAATTTCTCAATTCGAATACAAGGTACTTATCAGATCAAGTTCCTCGGTTACTACTTTAATGGTTTTAGAATGGTCTAAAAGACAATAATAATAATATATGATATATCCGGTGTGATCTTATTAGTGAAGTCTGAGAAAATATCTAGAAGACGGGATGGAATTATTTTATTCCGCAGAGATCTAAGAAGAAATTTCAGAAATTCCTTTAGTTGTTATGATACTTTCACGTATTATTTGGCACATTATACAAAACGATAAGGGCAACCTATTTTCCCATGATGACGCCCTATTCCACAAACTTAATATACTAATCACTATCTTAACAAATAATAGCAGCAATAATTTCAAAAAAACAACAATGCTTTTAATTAATATTCCACAGGCAGGGCATCACTAAGATTATTTTAGGTTCCACTAAGAAAAGAAACCCCATTAGGTAGCATAAAACCATAATCAAATTCTTAAAATGGATCACCCTTGCCACCTTTAACATGGTTGGGATAAACCAGCTCAAAAATACTCTTAACACGATGTGATATTTTCTGTTTTGCATCATCAACGAATATTTCAACATTTATTATATGTAACTTGTTTTTTTGTCGTATGAAACTTTTGTTCGCACACCCAACTAATATGATATAATGGTCCTGTTTATATTGAAGGAGCTACATTCTACAAACCCCACTGTGCAAAGAAAACTATTCTCAGATGCCAATTAAAGTGGGGAAAGTAATTTTCTTAATCATTATATGGCTTACGGCCTGCGGGGTATCTATAAAATATATAAATAGTATAGTAAAGTAGCTAGCATTCTTTGTGACAGGTATAATGAATGGGACAACAACTGATGAGCAAATTTTTTTAAAATATATTCTAGTAATAATGCTTTGTTCATTTTTGACTTGAAGCAATCATTTCAGTCTTCTTTTGTTGCACTGGAATAAGCCTACATGTGCATAATGTAATGCCTTTCTTCTAGTTTCCCCACAAAGCCATTTTAGATCCTTCTTTTTTTTAACATTTCCCAGCTATCAGCCTATTCCCTACACTACTTGTTGGAGAAAACAAAAGATAGCTTTTCAAAATTGGCTCTTGTGAAATGGTAGTTCAAAAATATTATCGGTTTGATTCAATATTGGTTCAAACACTTCTCTTTTCCGCTTTTTCTTGAACGTCCTTCCTTTCAGCTGTTATGATAAAGTAAAAAGGTATAGAGTGGTACCATTTGGAGAGAAATTTAGCCAGCTCTGCCACTGGTTCTTGACCACAGGAACTTGGGCAAATCAAATTCAGATAGCGGCATTAATGTACCTGTGGTCCTAACAAAAAAAAAAGTGGAGATCATATCTATTAGTAGGACCTTCATTTGATTTGCAATTTCCTAATCTAAGATGTGAAGAGAACTCGTAGTAATTACTAAGCAGCACGTACGACTATTTTGCATCTTCTACGTCTTTAACTTTTCCACCTATCATTTCAGTGGTACCAGAGAATGATGGTAATGTTATGAAAGGTGAAGGTCCATTAATTTTGGTAAACCAATGCAAGTCCCTAACAATTATCTGTAGTTTTGGTCCAATTGTCCTCTTGAAATCCAATTAAGACATTTACTTCAAAACAAAGGGAGCAATATCTCAATTTGTAAGGTTGCAAATGTTGTGACTTGGCAGCCACATGCCCTTGACCCCTAGATACTTTATAGGAAATTATTTACTGAAATCCTAGAGACCAGAGACCACAAAAGAAAGAGCTTTAAGGTTGTGGCCTCGGTATAAACCAGACATTCTAATTCAGAACAGCACTCTGCAATTTTCTAATATCATGCCTGAAAATTTGTGGTGAATACACCTTGAGAACATCTGATCAATGTCAAGACAGACCAGAAAATATATGGTTGGCTTTTGAGATAGTCTAGAATGGGCCAAGTAATGCAGAATAAATGAAGTTATCTGAGATGCATGGATGCAGAAAATCAACAAACATATATCAAGAACTTATGCTATGAATGATTAAAGTGTGATACAAAAGACGAAATGAGTCTGCAAGTAAAATAAAGAGAGAGAGAGCATAAGAGAAATAAAGTGCACACATTTTCATTGATTACTTACAAGGAGAATGAACTCAGTACCTAGCATGAATTCCTGGAAAGAAGCGAAAGCACATCTGAAGAGGAATGCAGAAAATGACACAGAAGACATATGAGATTAAGTTCAGGGTAAAGCAGTCGGACTGTGAACCATTGTCACTCGTTAGGCTTCCCAATATAATTGATTTGTAGGAGCTCCAGCCCTCTCTACTTCCACTGTTGTGTAGTTCTGTGGATAACTTGAATACCAAACAACCTTCCATCCCTCGTTCAATCTGATATACCGTGAAACTCATACAATTGAAAAATCCATCATGTCTAGAGAGGTTAACTTTCTGCTGTATCTTATGCATGAGACCTCATATCAAAAGCAAACCCTTCCGTTGGCTGGTATAGTAGATTCCAAATCATTAAAAGATAAAAACGAAAGGAAGCTGACACTTGAGATAAACAAGATAGGAACCTCAGACTTTTAATCTGCCCTGTAAAGTTAAAACCTAAAAGCACAACAGCCTTAAAGATTACACTCTGCTACGAACATTCTTTACAGGTATGAGTGCTCTTTCCCGGAACTGACTACTATGAGTAGTCATCATAAAAATTCTTCTTCTAAAAGTATAAAAATCAGAAGCAGCCTATAAAAAATGGATCTCTCAGTCATAAATTTCAGAAATGGCCTTCAATTATGATTGGCAGTCGCAACAAGTTCGTAACTTCATCATATGCCAATTTAAGTCTCAGAAACAGATTCATGGAACCAAACACTAAACTCTAGCTTTTCACCAAGAAAAGCTGCTGCTTCCTCATTCTCTCGAACATATGCGTGGTGTTAACTGTTAGCAATAATGCCTTCTAGGAGAGCACTATCCAAAGTTCATTTAATTTAATCAGAACTTCCAAAATCTGTGGGTGTAGCTTATCAGCAACGCGAAACTCGTGAACAACACCATTCACCTCAATCCAGCTACATCCAATGTCTGATTGAGTCTTTCTCTGACCCATTGCATTCCTCACTTCAGAAACTTTCTCCCAGTTGCCTAGAGATGCATACATATTAGAGAGAAGTACCTCACTTCCACTGGGTCCATCAGAGTTAAGCTGCTTTATAAAATCTATAATGCTGTTACCAAGGAAAATATTACGATGGATTCTACAGGCACTGAGCAACGCCCTCCATATGACTATATCAGGTTTTATGTGCATGTTCTTTACAACTCCAAGTGCCTTTTCCAAGTATCCAGCACGGCCAAGTAAATCAACATAACAGCCATAGTGCTCAATCTGAGGTTTAAGTCTCCATAAGTTCTCCATGTTATAGAAGATTGAAGAACCCTCTTCCACCAGACCTGAATGGCTACAGGCATTAAGCACCCCTATAATAGTTACTTCATTTGGATTAACATTTTCATTCAACATCCTGTTAAACACGGTTAAGGCTTGCTCACCAAGCCCATGATATGATAACGCTGATATCATACTAGTGAAGTTGTGTACATCAGGTCTTGGAATTCTATTGAAAATCAATCTTGCTATGTCTATTCTCCCACATTTTGCATACATGTCAATAAGAGCAGTACATATATTTGAACTGTCACGAATTTCATTCCTCTTAATATAAGCATGAATCCAATTTCCCTGTTCTAAGGCCCCAAGATTAGCACAAGCAGACAGAGCACACACAAGAACAGCTTCATTAGGCCTTACCTTATCCTCAACAGAGCCTAACATTTCATTCAAATACAGAAGTACCTCCATATACCTTCCGTTTCCAGCAAAACCCGATATAATAACAGCCCAAGAAACATCGTTTCGCACTGGCATCTTATAAAAGATTTCACAAGCTTGATACATCTCACCATTATTTGCATACCCACATATCAAACTAGTCCAAGAGAACACATCTCTTTCAGTTATTCTATCAAACACTTTGTATGCATCATCTGTAATCTTGAATACCGAATACATATTAATCAACGAATTGCCCACATATAAGTTTGATTCAAGCCCATTTCTCACCACCAACCCATGAACAATTTTTCCATGTACAATTGATTTTTGATGGGCACATGACGTAACAATAAAAGTGAACGTGTACTCGTCCGGAAAAACCCGAATGCGGTGGTCTAAATTCAAGAGTTGGCGAAAAAGACAGAAACTTTCTGAAGAATTTTGGAGTTTGCAGTATACTCTGATCATCAGATTCCATATTAGAATCGGGGGTGAAGGCAGAGGATAGTGAAGAAACAGAAATCTTGCTGAGGTAACTTCCTTGATATGCAGATAACAGTGAATCAGAGAATTAACTAAAGAAGCAGTTGATGAGAGTTCCTGGGTGAGTATTTGGGCATGTATTTGCTTCAGTTGAGATTTAGGTGGGCGTTGGTGTAGCAATTTAGACAATTCTTTTCGAGTAATGTGAATTTTGTCTTGAAAGACGGCGGGAAAAGTGGCTGTTGAAGAACAACAGATTCGACATTTGGGCTTAATAACAGTCAAGTGTTTGGCTTTACGCCATGAAAGAAAGCGCATTTGAAGTTTCACAAAAGAAACTGGAAATCAATTGGGAGTCTCAGCTCTAAATATTCAGTGTCTGCACTAAATCTTTTTTCTTTTTCTTTTTTCAAATTTACAAAATCTCCAATCTCCAAAATTGAGTTTGTATGTATAGGTTTGGGTTACATTTAGACCTAACGGGGATGCAATATTATGACCAGATAGTTTGATACGTTATTTCGGATTTCGATTTTTGGGTCAGGTTGACAAATAAGTTACTACTATAATGTATCTTTTTAAATTTGAACAGGTTGAGCGAGTTCCTAAAAAATAGATTGATTTTGTGGTATGTATTCATTACTTCGTTTTGATTTTAAGCTTTTTGAGTCCGCCTCCCATGGCTCAACACTTAAAGGATCATGGCTAGTTAGCCATGACCCTAAAATACAGAGAAGAGTAAAACAGAGTTCAATGGCTAAGCCTTTTTTCTCTGTTACCTTTTAAGGAACATAATGTGGATTAGCAACTGAGCATAAGTAGTTGAAAGAAAATGCAATAAAGGAAACTGAAAAAATTGAATTTTCTTAGTTTATGAGCCAAGGAAAGTAGACCTTTCCCTGATAAAAAGCCACTCCAATTTCCAGACAACCACAAGAGCAATCACATTATACAAACTTTAGGCAAAACTATTTGATTTATCAAGTAAAACACACACCAAGATAAAAAGAAAAATGAAGTAAAACTTTGTTGACTCTCTCATGAAAATATCACATATAGGCATTGTAAATAACCCCTCTTGTATATATATATATGTTTGACCTCTGCACCTGATTCAGGCCAGAAAGCCGACTCTCGATGTTGTTGTATAGCAAAATCACACGAAAATGAAAGCTTTTATGGAAGGACCTCATGCTTTTCCATTTTCAGTCACCCCTTTAATCTTCTCATGGTCTTCCATGTGGCTGAAGTTACCTCGCTGCTTGAAGAGTTGCGTATGATGGTGCCTACAATAGAGCTTATGATCATGCGCCACATAATTCGATGGACTGATTACACAACCCCCGTGGCTACATTTGAAACAAGGCCTGTGGTACGAAGTGCCATCAACAGCCACCTGTGAAATAGCAGTAACTATGTAAGTATCTACATAGACCTTCCTCGTTTTCCACTAATTGCTATTACATAAAAAAGAGTATGTCACTACCTTTTCCAGGGGGTAGACAGTTTTCTTGCACGCAACACATTTGTCTTGTGTTCCACCAAACAAAGCTGAAACTTTGTTGGTTGCTTGTGCCTGAGAAAATCGATAACACAACACAAGTTAGATCAACATGTAAAAAGAACAGAGTGGTGAATGCTTAAGGGATCATGATGATCTTGACAATAGAAATCAATCAAATATGGAATACCTTATCAAGAGATCTTTCCTTGACTGTTCTTGGACCCCCTGCAAACAATATAACGAGTAAGTGAAAACAAACTTCAAAGGAATTAAAAATGACATAAGAAATATCGACTTGGAAGCTCCAGTAACCTTCAAAACTCTTGTTCAGGCTTCCAGTCATTTTGAATAGTTGATCAAAGTGAGGTCTGCAGTATAAAACTCCTTCATAGGAATTGTAGTTACCTAACTGCACAAGTTCAAAAATGACAAGGAAATTCAGACCAAGATATCTTTTTTATGGATCAACGAAAAAAGACATGGACGTGATGATAAAGCTACATGAGAATGTAGTTGACATCATACAATTAGTCGACCTAAACTACATGACAATTAGGCGTACATTGTTTATGTGGAACACTAAATATAGTAGCACAAATCACAGAAAGCTGCTAAGAAGCATTTTCTAGTAATGAAGTTGTAAGTGATATAAATATGTTATGGTCCTTCCAAACTGGAGGAAGATGAGCCAGGAGTACCATTCTTCCGGTAGAATGGACCATTACTGGTAAGCAGAGCTACGATTTTAACACAAACCAGGAGTGATACTGGGACAGTTTGCCAATTAGTTGTTGATTTGAGAATAAGCTGCAAACAGGCTGCTTTAACTACTCAACCAGAGAGTGAAGGCCAAAGTTTTGTAGATTAAACGTCTGAGTTTTTGTTTTAATAGATTCAAAGAAATGCCAACACTTGAGCAATCGAAGAATTAATCAAAATTCATAAGTGAAAAAATCTTGGTTCATCCTTCGTACTATCTTTTCAAAAATAAAATGGATCTTCAGTTTTAACTAATAGTAAGAGAATCAGTATCATTACACTACCATCCGTCTATTGGTGTATAGAGTGGTGGAATCGAACTTTTCACTAAAGGACCTCAAAATATGAAGAAGTAAATCCATAAAGAAGTCAAGTGGATTCAACATCGTTTAGGATGAATCCCTTGTACCCAGTACCCACGTGGCTCTGCCCATGGGTGCATCGTGCATATATATAAGTTAAAACTATGTATAATGAACCATTACTCCATAGAATCCCTTAAGGGTCCATATATAATGCATTCATCACTATGGCCGACACAAGAAGACAGAAATAAAAGATGAGAGGATCCTCTGTAGATCACTTCATCTTTATCAAATAAACCTATCTAGATTCAAATGGAAAAATCAATTCAACCATAGTACATGAACAGAATTCTCCATTATATTCGATCTTAAACAAGCATAAACATGCACTTTTTAACAAAACCAAAATAAAATCCGGATAAAATTATAGTTGATCATAGATGATCTGAATTAGTCCATATAAAAGAGGATTTAGAAATGAAGTATTATGACCTTAAGAGTACCCTTGCAATGATTACATCTGAAACAAGCCTTGTGATATACCCTGCTGTCAGCCTTAAGTTGATCCACCAAGTAGACAGTTTTCTCACAGGCCTTACACTTCTGTGTTGTCCCTCCAAAAGTTGCCATTCCTTTTTTTCTCTGCAGAAAGATCAATCGATCGATTCAATAAAGAATAAAGAGATGCAAACAGTCTCTAATTAAGTCTTCGAAGTTGAAAATTTGGGTAATTTAGAGGTCAGAGAACAAGTGCGGGCGTGTTGAAGTAGTAGCAGCGGACAAGCCTTTTCAAATATTGGCTGTCCACATTGTGGGCTCTAATTAATGCTAATTAAAATTTCTTGTTTGCTCATTTGTAGTGGAATTTGACCAAACACGCGTCTATTGTTAATAGGGGGATTCTGCCTTTCGACCCCTAACTAAAGTTTACAGTTAACTATATCGCTGCATTTACTACTCACTATGAAAATTTTTATAGTGGGTGAGACATACCACGTCATACTTTTTAGGGATATATAGCTCGATATGTATGATTCAGTCGTAACAAATATTAATATTAATACATAATATACGCTCAGACGTTTTAATCTTAATACAAATAAGTCATCTATGAACATTTTTCTCCTTCGTTTGCTTAGATTAAAAAGTGGATACTTGAATTTGGGAGTTATACATTTTGCCAGCTGCCGATGGAACCGTTGCACCTTAAAGTTTGTCGCTCTTTGAAGGATAAGCCTTTCTCTTTACTTATGATTTATTGCAGCAGGTCAAACCGTCCAACTATTGACACATCATGTGAAAATCAAAATTGTTCAATTACTTTGTATTTACGATTTAAATTCGATTCACAAATCATAAGATGATTAATTATGTTACTGAAAATATTTAGAAATAATTCAAGGAGAAAATGAAAGTTTTCATATAAGTTTTACGTCTTTTTAATATATATTTTTCTTGTTAATCTTATTAAATTGGACAAGACAGACATGCAAGCCGAGAAATACAGCTCATTCTCAATCATTTTTTGCAAAACAAAAATTCCACTTTTACTTTCTTTTTATTGCATATACTTTACTTTTTTGTTTTTGATATTCATATTTTGTTTCATTCATCAAATAAAGCGAGGAGTCGTTGAATTAATGATTGTTTTATGGGATATCCCGGCAATGAATGAGACTTTCTCTTTATTTATTTTTTCTTTTCTTCTTTCTACATTTTCTCATTATTTATGTTTAATTATATATTTTCTTCCTTATCAATTAAAGAAATAACAAGAAGACACCACATTGGACAACTAATAATTCTCTTATTAAATATCTATTGTTGAATTGATTCTATCTTTAAAATAACTATAAGAAATATATAATCATTTTATTCTAGGAAGAATGGAGCCATAATAACATAATCATAAAGTTTGTCAAACCGGACAATTTAACCCCCCAATATGCACCAAATTTTAAAATTAAAAAAAAAAATGAAATGATTTTATTACATAATCTATGTTAGGTTAAAAATATATACAAAATTTCAAATCTTATACTGATAATTAAAAAACACTTTTCTAGCTAATCTCGAATTAGATAGATATTGATAATCAAATAAGTAAAAAAAGAAAATGAATGTTATGTATTAACTCACGGAAAGGAATCTCGAACCATTAGCCAAAAATAATTGTTATAATTATTTATTTAATATAACCTCATAAATTTAAAATTAATTAAAGTTAATATAGCACATACATACACCAAGTGGGAGTACGTACGATTATTCTTCCATCATTCCAGCCATGTAATATACCTAATTAAAGTAGCCATTCAGGTTAGGTAATGTGCATTAGTCCTTTTAAATACTAATGTGTTTAAATGTGGGACACAAGAGGATGCATTCTTGTACTATATTAAATTTTGATCTGAAAATAAAATACAACTGAAACTTGGAAGTACGTTATAGTAAATATGAACCTAGGGAAGTACATCAAAACTAATAAAAATCAAAAGTGATTTGTTTAAAACAAAACTAATTGAGATAACTAACCATAAGAACTTGTACATAATAATATACCAAATCATTCTATGTATACTAAACAATGGCTTCAATATTATGACAATTTATCTATGCCATAATGCATAGCAGTTTTAATTAAGGAGAATCATATATTATTAAAAGTGGGAACAATCTAAGTCAAAAAGTTGAATTACGAAAACACCCCTTACCTATTAATTAATTTTCTTAAAATCATTTAAAAAAAATATTTTTTCCATTTAAAATCAACTTCATAACTACACCTCTTCATTTTCTTAA